AAAATATATAATATATTTAATATTATAAATTTAAAACTATATAATAGTAAAGAACTAAAACCTAGCCTGCTGCTAGATAACCCTTTTATAGTAGAAAAAATATATAAAATTAAAAAGATTATAATTTATAAGTATAATAGTAAAAGATACTTTTATTATATTAAATAAAAAGGCTATTTAAATAATAAAAATACTTAAATTAAAAAATTAAACTTTATTAAGTATAAAATTTAATAAAAATATAATAATTAATTAGCCTTTAATTAATTAAAAGAAATTTATTATTAATGCTTAATAATATAATATTAAATTTTAAAATTTACCTATATTTTAATTTCTAATTTAAATTTATCAAAATATATTAGCTAAGCTATAGCTAGCTATTAATTAATTAAAAGTAATTTACTTATAATTTATTAAAAAAGAAAAATTTAGATTTTTTAAAAAAAAAAATTAAAAGCTAATGCTAAATTAAATATTAACCTTTAGTAAAGTAGTAGTAAAGTAGCAGTAAAGTAATATATATTTTATACTATAGTATTTTATTAAAATACTAAATATTAATTTAAATTAAAATTATTTTTTTTTTATTTAAACTTAAAATTTAACTAGCTGTAAATTAAATATTAATTATAGGCTATATACTAGCTAGTCTACTGCTTATTACTTAAAATTTCTTTTAAAGCATTAATATTTTTATGCTTATCTATAATAACCTTAGAAAATTTATTTTAAACTTTATGCTTATAAATAATAATAGTAGCTAATTTATTAAGTTTATGGTTTTAAGCAGTAAATTAAAAGCTAGCTATAAATTACTTAAGAGCTACTTACATTAATATAAGTAGCTATATTTTTTACTAAAATAAATAATAAATTAATAATATTAATATTAATTTTATAAAAAGTATTTATATAAGTATCTTAAAGTTACTGCTTTTTAGCAGCTTTTTTGCTAGCAGTGCACTTTATAGTATAACTATACTTAAGCTTTATTACTTAAGCCTATTTATATTTAAATTATTAATACTTCTAGAATTTAAATTACTAAAAGTTAATAACTAGCTAATAACTACTATACTTTTAAATATTTATTAAATAGCTATACTTAATAATTAAACTTTAAAGCTTTTAAGCAATAAAAAAAGCAAATGCACTAATAAATATATACTGCTTATTAAAGAGCTTGTAATAAATATATTTCTTAAATACACCTAGCTATTAATTAACTATAAACTAGCAATAACTTAACTTCTACTTACTTTTATTATTATAGTAAAGGCAGAGCTTTTATTTTATTTTTTATTTATAGATAGTTGGGTAATTTAAAAAATAGTAAAAATAATAAGTATAAAGAGTATAATAATTAAGTAGTAAGTTAAAAGCTAGCCTCTAGTATACTAAAGATAGAAATATACTTAATTATATTACTAATAACTATATTTTTTTTAATAGATAATAACTTAAGAGGTATAATAGCAATCTTATAGCAAGTTAGCTACTAGGATAAAGCTATTTAAGAGAGGGGGGTATATAAACTTTATTTAAAATAATATAAAGAAGAAAAGAAAAAAAAAAAAAAAAAAAAAAAGAGGCTGCCCTTTTATCTTTAAATTCTAGCTATAAAAAAAATGCAGCTGCTAGCTAAAAGTAAAGTTATAACTGCTAAAAAAGTAAATTATAACTAAATAACTATAAGCTAGATGCTAAAAAGGGACTGCTAACTGCTAGGTAAATAAAAATAATAAAAATTAATTAAAAAAATTTATTTTAAAATAATATAAATACTAAAGGCGCTAGAATATTACTAAAAGAAAAAAGGCATGCAGAAGGAATAGTATAGTTAGTTAGCATTTATATTATTACTTTTATTAAATCCTTTTTTAAAGGCCCTGTCTTCTTCTATAACATCCTCCCCATTTACTAAAATACTTTTAATATATTCTAGCTCCCTTAAAGAATTTAGGCAGCAGTAACTTAAAAGGTTAATTTTATTAGCAGCCTATATATAAGTCTAGTAGTAAATTAAAAATAAAGCTTAATTAACTTAAAAAATAACTTATAGCTATTAAAGTAATAAAAAATATTAATATATTTAAGGAATTAATAATATTTAAATAAATTTAATTAATAAAGATTAAATAGACCTTAATATAAAAAACTAATAACTTAACTATAGAAGAGTTATTAAAAGTCTAGGAGTCTACTACTGCTTTTTATTTAACTTTTATAATATAGTCCTTATATTTTTAAAGAAATTTCCTAGTTTTTATCTGCAGGAGAACTATAATAAACTAGCTAAAAATTAATAATAAGGAAATAAAAGAATATAAAGAATATTACTATATTTAAAGTTATTTTTACAATCTCTTATACTAAATAGCAATACACTACTTAATAACCTTTATCTATAGCTTTATAGCCCTTTTTACCCTTGCCATTACTATTATCTTTAATATAAATATAAATAATATATTTATTACTACTACCTAGGTTATAGTTAATTAAAAGCAACCCTTTTAAAAGTAACCTTAAATAAATTTATAGTGCAGACATAAGCTAGCTTTATTATACCTAGTTTCTAATATTAATAATAATATATATAATAATAATAAGGGTTCTTCTTAGAAGCTAGTTAACACTAAGTTATAAAGGCATTAAGCAAGCATATATTATTATATTAATTATAGATTTAGTATTTAAAGGTCTTGCATAAGTTATTTACTTACTTTTATCTTTAGCAGTAGTACTTTATATTCTAGCTATAATAAAGATACTGTTTAATAAAGAGCTTAATAAAAGATATAGGAATAAAGATAATAAAAAAAAAATAAAGAGAATTTATTTTATTTTATATTTTTAAAAATAAAAAAAAATAAGACTATAAAAAAAGTTACTGCTAAATTATATTTAAATTTAATCTATTTACCTATAGAATGCTGCCTAATAAAGTATTATTTATTTATAAATCCAGAAAGCTATATAAATTATATTTAAGCAGCACTAGGTTAATGCTATAAAAGAAGGGCAGTATATTAGGTAATAAAGAAGCTAGAATATAACTAGCTAGAAACTAGCTATTATCCTTTAAGCTTAAATAAATATTCTATACTATACTAATAAACCTTAAGTCTTTAGCTAAAGATATAAAATAAAAAGCCTAATGCAATTAGCTAAAAGCTAATTGCCATAAAGAAAGAAGGTATAAAAGGAAAGGACTTTCTTTTGTAAAAATAAAGAAAGGGCAGAGATAAATATAGTCTTTTAATAATACCTAGCAGCTATCCAGCAACAAAGACGCACCTAGCCCCACTTAATCCTCTATCACTCTTCTTGCAAGACCTGGATCGTGACACCTATGTAGAGTATATAATATAATATACTATTGTCTCATGGGCTAGCTACTAGTTGTATTCTAATTTAGGAAAGTTCAAGAAAGGACAAGGCATACTTCTTATAGACAAAACTAGCATTTGGTCTGCTAACCGATGCATTACTTCCACTCGTTATCCCAGGTTATTTATACAAAAATTACAGAATATTTGGAAAGAAAAAAAGGACAGAGGTATTTGAAACATATCCAATAGAGTTATTATTCGCTTTACATATCCTAACATCTTGCAAGATCTGTTCCGGGGATTTTGCGCTGGCACGACTCGATGCTAATATAGTTCCGCGGACCGACGATCCAAGAAATGCTGTGCCGCGGTCCGGGGATCGGTCAAGGTAACAGAGAATGCGACCCCACACCTGCATACCTGTATCAGCATTGCCGCTTATTGCAGGCGACGAAAAGCACTGGCTAGAGATGGTCATTCAAATCATGGAGTAATTGTCCGCTGCCTTGTTCAACGTTGTAGGCCTCTTTTTACCTTTTTTTTGGAGTAGGAAAATATTAAACTTTTGTTAAGATGGGTGATGCGCTCCTAAGTCGTAGCTAATAGTATTCAAGAGGCGCCGGGGGTGTGGCACCGGCACATGAGTCGCAATTATCATGAGAGTTTTACAACGGACTGTACGGAGTACTGTGGCAAACATTACGTAAGTCAGTATTTCTCCGTTTTATACGTCGTGGGTTGGTTGACGTTCTGCCTCTCGGCCCTGTGAAGTGAATTTCAACCTCGGTTCTAATATCCAGCCGGAAAGCCTGATCAAAGGTATAAATAAGGCAACAATACCACAGTAGCTCAGGACCAATTCCACTATTCTGATCAACAATTTAATTCATCCCATCTACCCAACGTATCGAGAATGCAGCCGTCTATCAGAACTGTTGGTGTGGTGGGCACCGGTGTTATTGGTGCGAGCTGGACAGCGCTTTTCCTTGCGCGTGGACTAAAGGTCCTGGTCTCTGATCCCGCTCCGGGCGCCAAAGAACGCCTTTTTGCATATCTCCAGGAATCATGGCCAATGTTTGAAGGTCTGGGCCTGCACAGGGACGCGTCGATTTCCAATTGTACCTTTGTAGGCGAAAGCCTGGAAGATCACTGTGGCGAAGTGGACTTTATCCAAGAGGTATGATCTGGTGGCTCATTATTCTCATTAAATGCTGACCCTTTTTCATTTTACGACAGAACGCGCCGGAACGACCAGACTTGAAGCGGAAGCTACTGGGACTGCTGGACGCAAAAACGAAGAAGCATGTTGTCATTGCCTCTTCGTCTTCGGGTATTCCTTCTTCGCAGTTTATTAGCGAATGCAAGTATCCTGAACGCGTTCTGATCGGTCATCCATTTAATCCACCACATTTGGTATGATTGTTTACACTCTGGGTCATTTATTGGTTAATTGTCAAGCTAATATGTGACGAAGATGCCCCTTGTCGAAGTTGTTCCACATACTGGGACAAACGCGTTGACGGTTGATGTAGCCATGTCGTTCTATAAAACAATGGGGAAAAGCCCCGTTTTAGTAAACCAGGAATGTCCTGGATTTGTGGCAAACCGTCTTCAAGCAGCTCTGGCCACCGAAGCTTATAGTCTCGTTAAGAGGGGAATCGTGTCCGCCGAAGCTTGTGGTAAGTTCCCCTTACACTAATGCAAATACAATTAGCTAACCAGTGGACCATAAGACATTTGTGTTACCACAGGCGTTGGGCTTCGATGGGCTTTTACGGGTCCCTTCATGACCAACGTGCTTGGTGGAGGCGGGGGGGAGAATGGATTCCGTCACCTTTTGGCTCATTTGGGGCCTGCTATTGAAGGATGGGTTAAAGACATGAAAGATCATGCATTTGAGTTCAGCGAGGAAAATATTCAAAAACTGGATAACAGCGTGCATAAAATGTTGGAGTCCACTGACGTTAAGGAAGTCGAGCATCAGCGAGACAAAGCTCTTATCGACCTTATCAACCGCAAAAAAGACCTGGGGGCCCTAAAATAATTCATTGGGGTCTTTAAACTAGTTTCTATTCAATTTTAACACATCATAGTTTACACTCATTTTCTACTTCATTGAAATCCTAAACATCCTTACTTACTATGAAGGAGATTGTAACCGACTCCTCAAGCATCCTGCCTTGAACACACCTGGATTCACAAACGATGGGAATGCCTCGATGGGGTGACATTTAAAGGCGAGCATCTACCCATCATTCCTAGTCCTATCAAGTCACAGGCAATGACAACCGTTTTGCTTGCTATCGTTGGCATTGTTGGGCAAGAATTTCTGCAGTTGAGATAAATTCCCCGGTCGCCAATTACTGTCAACATAACCCAAGCATAAATTTACTACGCAACACCAACTTTGGCGTCAGTTGGTGGAATCGACGGAATTGAAGTATTGAAAAAGTAAGTCAGGTCTCCTGCCCTTGGGCAAATGTACGCATTGCTTGTTTTATAGGATTGATGGCGCCATCTGTACCAGGCGGCGTATAAACACTGGCCTCGCCTACTCGCAGTCCCCATTTACCCAAGTTTACAGATAGACAGCTCGGCAATGCTTTAAAGATTATAGGTGATATCACTTTGTGGGATATTTTGTACAGATTCTTACTCCGTTTCCAGCATACCACATCGACTTATCCCACTAGTAATCCGAGGTGGTGGTACCAGCTGTACGGATCAACCCTGGCTGATCCTGTCATGAACGCCCTGGGAATTAAGTCCTTACGGAAGCTTCCTACAACGAGGCATACAGACAACTTTGAAATTGTCTCCTTACGGTCTAGATATGATGATGCTCGAGAATGGCCTCTATGGCTCAATATACACCCCCGAGAATGGCGGCATACGGATATGGGCAAGACTCTCGCCCGGTATCCTCTGATCAATTACAAAAAAATGGCCCATGCATCACCCACTCCACCTATACCATTTTCGAGAGATCTTTCAGATAAAAGACACCTAGCAGACGAAAAGGTCCTCGAGTGAGCCCACATCATCGCCAACCCGGCCAGCGGAATGATCTTGGCATTTCTGGGTGTCGAAGTCGTCCGTGTTCAGGCTAGACATAAGATGGACTTTGTTGTACGCGAAGATCCTGTTGACACGGATAGTCGCTCTTGCTAAAGTTGCTTCAGCCTGCCCAACTGGCACTAATGGCAGGTAAATCCTCATATGATCTAAACTTGGATGATCCAAGTAATTTCGATCGACTTTAGGAGCTAGTGAAAGACGCCGATGTCATTATCCAGGGGTATCGGCTGAGGTCCCATGAGAATCGCAGCTTCCGTCTTGAGGCGGGAAGGGAATCATTTACCTCAATGGAAACTGCTATTGCTTAGAAGGATACATGGCATAACGTCCAGGGTGGCAGTAACTCTGAAACGCTGCCTCTGGATACAGCTACGTCATGGGTAAAGGTTATGGGTTTCCCGAGTGCCAGTCCGTTCTTCCTTAGTCTCCCAACTGCTGACATGTCGACCGGTGTTGTTGCGGCCCTAGACATCATGATTATTCTGCACGAGCGCGCTAAAGATGGCGGTTTGCCTCATGGAAATGCCACATTGACTGCCTTCCAGGCCGCACCACTGAAAGAATGGGCGGGCTTATATCAGCCGGAAGTCGTTGCGAAAATTCAGGAGAAGTTCAAGTTCAAGCCGAAGACAAGCGATCTTCACGTCATTGAGCTTTGCTATCTCATCGCACATGCGTGAAAGGCAAATTCAGACTTGATTCAAAATGAACAATACTATACACACTTCTACGGTAGTGTGTACGGTAAGGATCTGAAGACCCTAGCACCGGTGGTTCGCTATGGAGAACAATAAAACTCTCCAAGAAAGACGGGGGCCCCTGTTCCATTCTGCCAGGGCCGTGATGCATGCTGAGGCGATGTACAAAGCTGACGTTTTTTGAGATGCGAGTAACAGCGTTCAACAAGCAATGTGACAAATAAAATGCGCCGCAAGAATTTTATTCCCTGCCAGTCTGCAGCTGGGCCAGCCTCTAGGGGTGAATTACACCGTCCTTTTCAACCCTTTCTAGACAAATGTAACCAGCCAATTCTATAGTATGCTGTATCAAATACCATGAGTGTACTTGATTTGCATTAGCTGACACTCAATGCGTCCGACGTACTGGTTTTGCGTTTCAGACTTTTATTTCTTTCTTTGGAAATTCCTAGGATAAATCAAAATACACCTCTTGTGCGATAACGTCAGCCAATCAACAGTCAACAGTAGCAAACCTTCATCCATGCCTCAGAAATGCAAGTAACAATGAACCTAGAAAACAATGGCCACATTTGTCGTGTTATTGTTCAATTTCTTTTTTTTTCCCCCTTTTTTTTAGCGAATAGTTATTTATACCGGTCTGTTGTGACGGTTCACGTTATACGAGGAGATTTAAGCGAACCCTCCAGTTGGCCCTCTAAGTCCATATAAGTGGAACAAAACCATTAATGTATCGTGACGCTGTGGAAATGCATATCTAGAACGAGTTATCGCTTCAACAAGTACATATGATACTTTATGAAGATCAAAATAGCCTTGAATACTATGGAGAATATTCACTTGTCTATCCTCTGCTCAGAGCTATGACAAGTTAAGAATGTGTCCCATTTATGAGACGATTGAGCGCCTCCAAAGGGCTCGCATTTGGCCTCGGTGCAGGGAGCCGCATCTATTATCGCTCTATTGGCAATTCTCTCTAAATGGGTCATTCGAACCTAAGCGCTGAGATCGCATATGCATTCTTGAATTATGAAAATAGATTTTTCTGTGGCGCAGTTTTACTAAACATTGAACATACAATAGTGTGAAAAATATAGAAAGATACATAAAGATAGGCAGAAGGAAGAACGATTTGCGGGCAGCTAGATGAGGGAGTCTATCAGGTTATTGTTGAAGTGTAAAAAGCATGATCTAAGGTAAGCACCTTGATTTAGAATGGCAAAAACAGACCCAAGAAATTGCTCGGTATAAGGGGAATCATTCATGCTAACGGCGTATGGGCATCCGGTCTTTCTAATTTTGCTATCTGTACGACATGAAGCTGACACCGGATAGGTCACTAATTGTCTAACGGAGTTGGCAGAGGGGTCGACTACGTAGGTACAATGTAGGACTGGATAGCATTATTGATGAAGGGATGGGCCTAAGTTCGCATAGAGCGAACCCTAGAGGCCATAGTGTGATGGATCATTGCACTCGGGCCGCGGAGTTATGCATTCATAGTTGCGCGCTTCAGGCTGCTGCACCTCGGATGTCCACTTGAGTGCCGTTAAGCAACCAATATCAAATGCTAGATAAAACATTTTTGGATATGACTCAAAAGTTCGACCCGGAAATTTCCGCTCAGATATTTCAATTGATACCATGAGATAGGTCTCTATATAACTATATAATCTGTAGGGGGGTTGACTCTTTGATTCAAAAAGGTTCCTTGAATCCACACCTTAGCGGATTGACATTAATAGCCAGCCACACGCAATGTTCCTCAGTACTATGCGCTGCACGCCCCTTGCAAGAACCTTCAGAAGCCATGCAATCCGCGGAGGCCCTGTCTTGTTCATGGGCAATAGAGCGAATGTCGTCCGTACTGTGCTCACAAGCGGCGGTCAAAACAGCACACGGCAGAAGTCCTGCGTCTCTTGCTCACCGGACCAGTCTAAAAGTCTCACCAGTTTAATGCCAGCTGCGACTGCATGGGAGCACCCGGTGTATATCTGCCAGCTAAAACCGTGAGATGAATAAGAAAGGTCTAACATTCTTAGGTACTCGGATAAGCAAGTATGTGCGATAACCATTTCCCACCGGGATGTAAAAGATTGGACAGACAAAGTGGCCTTAAACAGTGTTCGGCTCTTGCGTTGGGGTATGGATTTCGCTACGGGTTACAAGCACCCTACTGAAGAGCAGGCCCGAAAGCATCCCCATAAATTTGTCATGACGGAAGAAAAATGGCTTACACGATTCATTTTCCTCGAGAGTGTTGCTGGGGTCCCTGGGATGGTGGGAGGTATGCTTCGCCATTTACGGAGCCTTCGTAAAATGAAGCGAGATAACGGTTGGTATGTGTCCTTGATGAACAGTCCTTTCTAGCGGCCAGGTGAACAGAATTTGTTATTCGTTTGTTGCCGATGGCAAACAATACATACAGCTATTTACTGACGTTGTTTTACCCAATCTAGGATCGAGACACTGCTAGAAGAGGCCCACAATGAGCGCATGCATCTTCTTACCTTCCTCAAGCTCGCGAAACCTGGATGGTTCATGCGTTTGATGGTCATTGGGGCACAAGGCGTATTTTTCAACGGGTTTTTCTTGGCCTACTTGATTTCTCCACGAATTTGTCATCGTTTTGTCGGTTATCTGGAAGAAGAGGCTGTTATAACGTACACACGTGCGATTCAAGATCTCGAACATGGTAAACTTCCGAAATGGCAAACGCTTCAATCACCGGACATTGCAATCAAATACTGGAAAATGCCGGAAGGCCGACGCAGTATGCGAGATCTCCTTCTATACGTTCGTGCTGATGAAGCCAAGCACAGGGAAGTAAACCATACATTTGGAAATCTAGTTCCAGAAGAAGATCCAAACCCCTTTGCTGGAAGGTATTCAGATACGTCTAAGCTTCAACCTTCTAAGGGGTTGATGAACCTGAAGCCAATTGGCTGGGAAAGGAAAGATGTTCTCTGAGAGAATACGGTGTACCGTTTTATCAAGGTGGCTTCAATCCATGTAGGCTAATTGGTATCTGAAATAAGAACTCCTGCTTTCACCATAGACTTAACATCATAGAATTCACCATATAAATTGTTCCAAAAAACTCACTTGACTTGATGCGTCGTATATTAATTCCAAAAATGGGGAAACCAAGACAGGCACTGCCTTTTCCCAATGGATAAATCACATGTTATGCCGCCTGTTGGCAACACCATTCGTAGTTTATCCATCAGTATGCACATATAAAGTATTGTATTTGGTACAGATTTGAAACTGAGAGACAGAATAAGCCTACCATTACGGAAAAAGCAAAGGAACATTAATATATACCAGCGCAACATAGATGAATTGACATCCCAGCAAGATAAAATGAGACAGAAACCATCAAGCTAGTTTTGGCGACTTGACGTCAAGCAGTGTGACCATGTAGAGCATGCCACCTTTGAATGACCATATTCTGCTCATCGGGGAATGCCGTACACATCTCCTCGATGCCCTGCGTAATGCGTGATCGAATGATTGCTTTGGATTTGCCTTTCAAAAGAGACCTGCGTACGTGTTTGTGCAACCCATCCAGTGGATAACCTGCTAATCCAAACAGCCCTAAACGACATCCGTTTAGCGTTCGTTCAATGATACATTTCCTAATCCAAGTTAGAATATTTGATTCTGAAAAGAGTTTGTATGTGGTAGCTTACCTTGCCGGCTGCTCTTAATCCACTCTTGATCTCCATGACTTTTGGAATTGAGTGAACAGTATCATCATGGTACAGCCTCGGTGCGTTGTGAAACCCCCTTGACAGGCTTAGTGTCAAATTAGTTGGAAGCACGAGAACAAAGTTCAGAGCATATTTTGCTGATTTAATGGCGTGATATCGTGTTTCTGATAACACGTCTTTTGCTTGGCTGACAACTTTGTCGTAAGTCATTCTTTGTCCCTCTTTCATCGCAAGATTGCTCCTACCGTCAGTAGAGCCGATATAATGGGCTTCATCACCTTCCATTAGAACTACACCAGCTGTGTCACGAATTCTTTGGCCTGCTTCAAGACCATCTATCGCATGACCATGTAGATCGCCCTGGCTCTCAGAGTGAATGGTGGCCTCATCATGCTGTGGTTTTTCTTTCTGCTTATGGTTGGATAGGCATTCCACTAAATGGGCCATGGCCCATCCCCTGCTACTATAGACTTTTTGTAGGGCCGTGGATTATGATCCAAGAAATAGACCGACAACCTGTCCCGGGATACGCTGCGGATGGTGCGTAATTTTCCAGAAACTACAACGTCTAATACTCCTCATCAATACTCTATGCTCTTAAAATTATTTAACTAAATGTTTGTGCGCCTAGCAAGAAGTCAAATACTAGAAGTTCACAGTAGACATTGGTTCAGCGATAGTAAATATAGGCACAGCTAATCCGATGTCTAACCAGTCGTATTTGGTACTTACAGGTATCTAAAAACGTGGGGCTTGCAGAGGGAAGTTTAACTACAAGTGCTACAATGCAGGGCTTTCCACTATATTATAGCACTTATCCGCTACAGTACAGCGCTTATCAACTACATTACAGCACTTGTCTGCTATAATACAGCATTTATTCGCTATAACATACTACATACTAAAGTACATGTTTAACACTAATTGCTTATAACTTAGAATCGATGAGTTGAAACGCGATCATAGTTGACAGAGTCATGGCAATGGTTTTCAGCAGAAACTCTGCACTGGTTATCTTTTTTTCTCGCAAGTATGTCTTGCATTATAGGAATTGGAAATTTGGGCATTAGCTACTTCCTTGCAACTGCTGATCGTGTGGGTCTAGTGTTAACATTCTGGGTAGGCAGGGTCTGTCATGGTGGCATTGCACGCCCACATCCCAATTTCCGCCCGCTTCTTAGCGCTGCCTTCTCCGAGAAACACAGGTCTGTACGAATTTAGTATCTATCTTGCTTGACAGTTTGTGGTTTAGTTTAGTTTAGTTTAGTTTACGCCATGTGGCCTAGCTACAGCACTATGGGAAAAGTATCTTGTGGGTTTAGCGCTAAGCCTACCCTGAAATATAACATTAATCGTAAAATATTAATTATTAAATAAAAGTTAATAATAATAATAATAATATTAATAATAATAATAATAATAATAATAATAATAATAATAATAATAATAATAATAATAATAATAATAATAATAATAATAATAATAATATATATATATNTAATAATAATAATAATAATAATAATAATAATAATAATAATAATAATAATAATAATAATAATAATAATAATAATAATAATAATAATATATATATATATTACTTTTATTAAAAAATATAACTTTAAAAATATTAATATAATTTTTTTTTAATTTTATATTATAATTGTATAATTATTTAAGTATTTAAATATATTGTAACGTCCTGATCCTATATCTGGTATAGGGTAGCTAGTTCCTAAGGGATAAACCTCTAATGTTGGGTTTATATTAGCAGAGAGATATAAGGGATTTTATAAGCAGTTTTAGTTATATAGCTAATAACTTTAAATAAAAGTTTAATTTAATTATTATATAAATGCTATATTAATAACTAATTATTTAAGCTATATTTAATAAATATAATAAATAGTTTTATATAGTAAGTTATTTTATTTAGATTATAGTTAGATTATAATATATAGGCTTATAATAGCTTATAGAAGTAATTTAATAAAGGAGCCTATAAACTATAATCCTTTTTTAATTAATCTATTAGTCTTTAGTTAATTCTTAAGTATATACCTTTAGGCTATTAATATATAAATATAAGGTTTAGGTTATAATATAATGCCCCCTTTCTATTAGTTTTATCCTTAAGGCCTATAAAAAGGGCCTTTTTTATATTAATTACTTAAGTAAATCTTTTTTTTAAACTTTCTATAATTTTTATAATACTTAACTGTATTTTTAAATTAGTTTTTTAAAAAATATATAAGTGCTTTTTTTTAGCTATTATTATAGAAGAATTAAGATTTTTTATAATAGTTTATTTTTTTTATAAAAAATATAGTATAGGTAATTAATATAAAATAATAGATAGTATAATATATTATAAAAAGTATATATATTATAGTTATTCTTATAATAAAATAAATATTCCTTTAAGTGCTTATAAGTTATTTTTTCTTTTAAAATAAATATAGTTTTATTAATTATTTATAGTAAATTATATTACTTTTAAGTTTAAGAGATTATAATTATAAAAGAAAAAGGCTAAGGAGTAGTTTACTAAGTATTAATAAAAAGCTACTAAAGCTTTATTTTATTTATTTTATATTTATTTTTAATAAGAATCTTTAATATTATAAAGTGCTAAAATAATAAATTATAGTTTAAAGAGTTTAAATAAATTAAATAAAGCTAAGCATGCTAAGTTAAAGGCTGTTTTAAATATTTAATTTAGCAGCAGTATTAATATAATTAATTAAAATACAGTGCTTGCTAATTTAGGCCTAGTGTTTAAAGGAATTTTTTTATTAGCGCTTAAGAATTAAAATATTTAATAAATTCTTATAAATTTTTAAGTTTTAAGTATTTTTTTTATTTAATAAAATATTTAATATTTTAGGTTTTAGGGTTTTAATATATAATAATAATATTTTTAATTTTATATTCTTTTTTTTAATTTTTTATAATAATTTTATTTAAAATAAATCTTTTAGTTTTTTTATTAATTTATACTTTTTTAAGTTATAATATATAAAAGACTAGATTTTAAATTTTTATTATATTTAATAAAGCTAGTTTATAATTAACTTCTTTAATTTATTTTAAAATTTTATAGGGTTTTATTTTTTTAATATTAAGTTTATTACTTAATTTATTTATCTTAATGTTTAATAGTTTATAGCTTTATAAATATTATAGTAAATAAATTATATTTTCTTTTTATAAAATTAATTCTATAATTTTATTTTTATTTATATATTTCTTTATATACTTATTAATAAACTTAAGTTATATATATATTTCTTTATATAAATTAATTATTAATTCTGTTTATAATTATACTTTCTTTAAATTAAGTTTATTTTATAGTAGTTTAAATGCTTTTAATATAAATTTATAATTTATAAAAAAAGACATTAGTTTTATAAATTTTAATAATATACTATTATAATATAGTTAAACTATTAGTAGTTTTTTAATTTAATTATTTTATATAAAGTTAATATAAGCTTATAAATAGACTTTAATAACTTAATTTATATATTTAATTTATTTATTTATCTAAAGATAATTATTATAACCTAAAACCATAAGATATATACTCTAGATATACTATAGATTAATAGGCTAATTAAAGAAAGAATTATAGCTTTAAGAGTAAGCTATTTTAAATAAATTACTATTATAAAAGTAAGCTACTATAAAAGGATTATAATTAGGATTATAAGCTTTATAAAATAATTTACTATATAAAATTATTTATTATATTTATTAAATATAGCTTAAATAATTAATTATTAATATAGTATTTATATAATAACTAAATTAAACTTTTATTTAAAGTTATTAATTATATAATTAAAACTACTTATAAAATCCTTTATATTTTTCTACTAATATAAACCTAATATTAAAGGTTTATTTTTTAAAAATTAGTTACTTTATATTAAATATAGAATTAAAATATTATATATTAATAACTTTTATTTAAAAAGATATTTTAGATTTTTTAAGTAATTAAACTATTATATTTTAAAATAATATTAAAAGCTAATTTACTTTAAAGAAGATTTTTTTTTTATTTAAAATAATAATAAAAATATTACTATAAAAAAAACCTTTAATTAAAAAAATATAAATAATAATAAAACTATTAAATTAATAAAAAATATATATAAATTAAATAAAATTTTTATAGATAAATTTAATAATAAAAAGTTTATTAAAAAAAATATAAAAGCATTTATTAAATAATAACCTTTATTTATATTTAATAATAAAATTAATAAACTTTATTTTTTTTAAATTTAGCTTAAGGCTTACTTTAAAGATTTTAAAATTACTTTTAATATAAAATATAAAAAGACTTTTTTTATAGCTTTTTACTTTAAAAAAATTACTTTTAAATAATTTT